TAAGTTGGAGAAATCAAAAATGTTGGCAGTATCAGCATCAATAAAGCAAACAAAAATAAGTTGTAATGAAATTAATTATGCAGCATCCTGAATTGTATCAGGGACTTAATAACTTGACTATCAAATCACCTAACTGTCATTAACAGAGACAGGTATTCAGTATGCACTTTGATAAATTATTACAAACTGTTTTCCTTTGTGGGCATGGTGGCTCACTCCTGTAATCCCAGCTCTGTGGGAGACTGAGGAGGGTGGATTACCTGAGCTCATGGGTTCAAGACCAGCCTCAGCTAGAGCAAGACCTTGTCTCTAAATATAGCTAGGTGTGGTGGCAAGCACTTGTAGTTCCAGCTACTCAGGAGGCTGAGATAAGAAAATAACTTGAGGCTCGGCGCCTATAGCTCAACTGGCTAAGGCGCCAGCCACGTACACCTAAGGTGGCGGGTTCGAATCCCCAGCCCAGACCTGCCAAACAACAATCCAAACTGCAACAAAAAAATAGCCGGGTGTCGTGGCGGGCGCCTATAGTCCCTGTTACTTTGGAGGCGAAGGCAAGAGAAGGATCTGCGGCCAGCGCCCTGCTCACTAAGCTACAGGTGCTGCCCCTCATCTTATCTCTAATAGTCTGTGTCTTTAAATACAATTTAGACATGGCTTTCTTGTGAAAGTTCTCTAAGAAAAGAAAAACATTGTTCTCTTTTGTGGTACATACGATTCTTGCTGCAGACATGTTGCATGGCCCAAACTGCCCATAGCTGAACTCCTGGTGTTGTGAAACAGCCAAGTAATGGGAAAAATGGATTAAAGGACCTAAAGGTTCAAAAGAAAAGAATCAGAGTTATATCCTGTATATAGCATTACTACTAAAGCAGTGATTCTTAAACTTCTCACCCTATTGGATCTAAACTAATACAAGTGGGCTACAGATCTTTTCTTTGTCTTAGCCATTTCAGAAAAGATAGGATTCAGACGTCTCTCAGTATAGAAGATGAAGGTGATTAGAACATAGTACTAAAAGAGAAAAAAAAATGTTCAGAAGGTACATTTGAAGACTAAGTGTAAGTAGACATTGGTTAAGGAAATAGAGAAGTTAGATGACAGCTAACTGATAGAACACCATGAATTAGCCTTTCCATTTCTACTGTTACAAACAGAAATGGATAGAAC